AAAAACAAAACAAAACAAAAAAAAGTGTGAGGGATATCCTGGAGCAGTGGTTTTCAATACAAGTTCCATTTGTGATGATAAATTAGAAATAAGGACAGCAAAGAACACAAGACATGCTTTTGTTTGTCGAGTGTAAAATATTTGATATTTCTAACGAAGATTAAAAAACATGGCAACTTGTGACAGCATCATAAGTCAACAATACTAGAAATCTACAGTTGTAGCAGCTCAGTAAGGCTGTGCTGAGTGTCAACGTCAGCATGCAAACATGCTCATCATGCTTTTAGTCAGCAGGTATGTGTAACATGTTGACCATCTTAAATAACAGTGCTGTCATTAGTTTTTGCAGGAACTTGATAAGCCAGAGTTGGGCAAATGATTCAGCTCTGCTGATAACGAGAAGCGTGTGTGTATCAATTTATGTGCTAATCTGTCCAGTCTTTGTCGAGATTTTTATCTCAGAACCACAAATGGGCCTAATGATGGCACTAAAGGGGATTCGGTGGATTGTAAAAACTTTGCTAAAAGGGAGCAACATTATCTCAGGAAAGAGAAAAACTCTCTTTTTCTGTAATCCTGTCGCTATTCAGACTTCCCTTTCTCTGTTGCTGGTGACAAATGAGCACACTTCCAAACAATACACAAACACACCATCCAAGTGTCTTTTTGTTGAACAGATCTCTTTGTGTTAGTTTTAGTGTGCAGTCTGACATGCCAAGAACTGGAAAGCAACAGATTCTCTGATTATGTGCTGATTGTAGAAGTAGGTCATGGAGAAAACAGCAAACATGTAAATGTGGAGAAATGACTCCCCTTGGCACTGTCTGCAGTAATCTATGATAGCTTGCAAATTTAAACAAGATACAGTCTGGTCTTTGTCTGTGGAAGAGAGATGACAAGAGCAGAGTTTTCATCATCAGGGCCTTTTCTCCCCCCAGACACTGACAAAACTCAGACTGATAAGTATTTCTAAACGCAAAGTAACGCTTCATTGTGACAGCGTACTGTCTGAGGGATTAAAGAATTCGGGGTTCTACGTGCAGTAATGTTATCTACATAATGTGTTTCCCAAAAGGAAGCGAACACCTGTAGTTGAAACACATTGCTGGAAAAGCAGTGAGATAAGAAGCAGCTGTGGAGTGTGAAAGTGTGAAAGGAGATCAAATGTAACCCACTAAAAGCATTTGAAGTGAAAAGTGAAGTAAGAGTCGACCACAGAGCTTTCAATTAATTTATTTTTGATAACTTCTCATTGGCTCTCTTTCTCCATGTATTTAGGAGATTGGACAGAATACGTCGCGAGATGTCGGCGGACACTGTCAACAGGTCACCAGAGCCTGAACCCACCATGCCGTCCACCCCTCCGCCGTGGACCATGGAGCCGCCTCCATCCTACGACGCAGTGATGAAAAGCCAGGAGCGCAATGAACAGCTTTAAGCTCAGGTGGACATGCTAAATTCATGTCAGTGCCTTTTGTGTCCGCGGTTCTCCACAAGGACTTTGAAAGAACAGCCGGTGCTATCAGTGAACTCGTTGCAGCGGGACGTTTAGGTGCCTTAGCACAGACACGCTGATCCCAAACATAAGACAAAAAACAGCGACAGACTGCAGCTGGTTAACAACTTAATATTTTTACAGACTGGGCCCCAGTTTGGCCTTTTTGTCTAATAACTATGTGTGTTCTGACTGATTGTGAAAGAAATTGAAATGATTACTACAACTGCTTTTACTCTTTGTACTAAGGGGGGGGGGGCTTTCTTGAGACCAACATGTTGTAGGCTCAACTTTTACAACCAAGTTCATGGATGGATTTTATTGGCCTGCATGAATTTATGTGACCTACTACTGTGGCTGCATGGCACTCTTCTCCACACGTAATAACTTTCTTTTCCCCCCCTTCTCACGGCTGCACAGCTCCTCTTTGTATCTGTAGAATATTCCAAAGCAAAGTGCCTTACCAAACAGCAGCAGAACCTTAACAGGGAAGTGTTGTTCATCACTCAGCTTTGTTTATACTGTTGTGATTTCACTATAAATGTGAGTGAATTATTAGCCACGAGGCTCCCTGCGAGTGGTGTTGCACTTATAAATGAGAGATTGTTTATTTTAAAAAGAAATTAATGCCAGAAAGGCAAAGAATGTAAATGTCTACATATTTAAAATCATTTCTAATCCAAGCAAACATAAATGTAGACTCAACTCTGTTCCCAAGCAGAGCTGTGAGACTCATTTTGCCAGCAGCTTGAGGCAAGGTGACTTACCAGGTACAAGTACACACCTGCAATTGTATACCCGACCTGGGCAGGCTGTCTGCAGGCTGTAATAAGCAGCAGAGTGGAACTCTAACTGAGTTTTCTCCACCCTCACCTTCAAGCCCTGAAACTGTACCAGACAGAATTTTTCCTTTCTGCGTGACAGGTGCCTCGCTTTGAGACAAGGCAGCAGTGCGATGGTAGAGGGGAAACCATATCGTTATGGACTGATAGTGGCCGGCCTGTGTGTCTTGGCAGTTGGCCTCTTCATCATGATGCAGGAGCGGCCACATGTTTTTGCTACTTTGTGCGTTCTGGGTGTCACTATGGTGTGCGCTGGGACTGTGTGGAGCCTCTGCCAGTGCTATCCTAAGGTATATGCTATGTGTGTGTTTAGTGGATAGAGAGACAGGAAATATGTGATTGTTGCCAAGAAGAAATAGATTTGGTAATGGAGATTGTGTGTTTATTAGGTCATTGTGGCTCATGAAATTCAGGAAAAAAGCCTAGAAAATATCATGGGTCCTGTGGCTGAAGATGAAAGGTACGCTCCCTAACACACACACATACACACACGCTCACTTTGTATCCTAATGGGCCACAGACAAGTGGGTGTTGACTGAGGCCTTAATGATTCCCTTTGGTCTGTCAGAGTAGCTCAGAATGCTAAGTGCCCATCGAGTAGTGGGTGAACATGGCGACAGCAGCGGTGTGTGTGGGCAGGCTGGTGCTATGGGTCTGCACTAAATCACTGTAGATATTCATTTTATTATTGTCCTGTTTGCTTAATGGAGAGAGGTTAGGAAAAGTGGAACAGAGGGAAAGGAAGAGCCACTAGACAAAAGGTTGGGACTGAAAGGGGCAGATTAGTTGGAAACTAGGGCTGAAAACCATTAATTCTGAAAAAAATCCTTGAGCCTCATTTATTCCAGCTGCAGTCAAAAAACGAGGTTGTACTGTGCAACTCCTGCATGAGTGTTTGCAATTACAAGAGAGTTCTGCAGCCAGATAGAGACATGCATGCTCAGCGAAACCCTGTCTCTGATGCACCAAAAAAAAGTAAGAAAATGAGGACAAAATACTGGAACCAGACTTCTATTTCTGTACCCCCACCCACCCAACCCCCACCCCTTCTGATTTAATTTTAGACACACTGAGGTTCTGCCAGGTTTCTGTGGCCATAAGCTGAGCAGCGTCAGACTTCTCCCAGAGACCCTGAAGAGTCAGTGTCATAGCTGTCCCACTCTGCATCTGGTCTGAGGGAGGGACAACACTACCAGAGGACTCCTCCAGGGTACCACACTGCTCTCAGGATAGTGAGGAGTCCCCTCGATGAATTTTTATACTTCCTTTCTGCATCGCTCACACATCTTGCTGTTTGAATGTGCCTTTCTTTTGTTTTCTTTTTACATCTAATGGAAGCAACTGACCATGTATCAGCGGTTTTGCACCACTTGTCATTGTGAAATGCTTAATAAAGCTAATTAAGTGTTATATAGTATTTCCAGAAGATGGCACTGTTTACTGTATGAAAGTATGTCTGTGTGTCTGTTAGACAGAGTGCAGCACTGCATTTATATGGTGTACAATAATTCATTTAAGACATTTTGGCCCCTCAGTGAACTTGTGCTCTTTTATAGCTGGATAAGCTATAAGCCTGCGTGATGTGACAAATCTCCATGTGTTTCTTTTCAAAACGCTTATCTACACTGCCTGTTGAGACATTACTGCCACCAACTGTTGAAGAACAAAGTGAAACTGGTAGCAGGAATTTGTAGAGTTCTGCATGTCTCTCTTTGTGGATACGCTGTTTGCATAGCAAAACGGGCGTTATTACCAGTCTATTACCAGTAATAACAGAATAATTGCACAATGCAAGAATTTATGATGTATAGCAGAGAGGTTAGATATTTTTGTAGCTTCTCTGTTGCTGTAAAATCAAAATGTACATTTCATCATTCTACTTTGGTGTTTCTGGTGTGAAATTCCTCGGGCTCAGTCCAAACCAACCTCAGTGACACAATCAAGCGGGTAGCTTTGTCGAATTTGGGCTCCTCCAGAGCCCCAGAGGGTATTATGTAACAGTTTCCTGAGTTCAAAGAGAAAAGGGATCATGCTTTGAAAAAATGTTTTTTCAAAAAACATATAACTCGTCGTAATAATTATTACTTTTCTTATTCTTTTTAAATGAAAGTGTATGAAACTGCTAACAGTTTTGAGTGCTTAAAGTTAAAAACGCGTACAGTATGTCAGAGTAAAATAGAGACGCACGCGTTTTGCGTCGCATTCTGCAGTCCTGCGCACATATTAAATAAAAAACAAACAAACAGTAAAGATAATAAAACAACATAGATAACCTATGAAAAATAAACGTAGCCTCCCTGTGAGTGCGCAATCACGGAGAATGAGTTTACGCGTACTTAGACTTTCAATCACAGCTCATACTGTTCACTATAAGTGCGCGTGCTAAAACGACATCAACAAATCAACTTGAACTGAGAGGAAGTGTTCTCTCAGATTGACATGCAATAATTACAGGGTGGTTTGGGGGGGCATGAAACATGACTCCTCCACAGTAAGAGGTGTTTTAAACGGAGGACAATCATTCGATACAAAAGAGGTGGCGTGAGCCATGGAAACGTCACCAGTCCCCGCCTTAAGTTATAAGAATCAATTGTTGGATTCCCCCCCCCCCCCCCCCCCCCCCCAAAAAAAAAAAAATCAGAATAGATTGTTGGAGGCGTTATCTTAACTGCCAGACACAGAGGGCACGCGGCTGTTGGAGACTTATCATCAGGATAAGTCAGACTGAAATAAAAAATAAAAACATCAGTGGTGTAATTTAATAGCTCTCTTTATCATTTTACTGGGGACAGTTCAAGAGGTGTGAAGAATGCGTTGCACCTCAGCCTGGATTGGCTGGGCTTTATGTTTGTGCGCATCTCTGGCCGTGCGTGCACAGGACTACACCGAGGACGACGGGATGATCCTGGACCTGGTCGGCGAGGACAGGACTGATCCTGAAACCGGAACCGACCCGGCAGCCGAGTTCATCAGGTGCAACAAGGTAATGGCATAGTGATTGCGTCAAAGGCATTAAATGCGCATCTTCAGTCATCAGCACCTGTCATTATTCCAAAAACGGGTAAAATATTTGGTCAAATGTTTCAACAAACAATCTTTGCTGATGTACCTGACAAGCTGCCAGTTTGAGATACAGATTCGTTAAAATGTGCGCTCACATGCTGGGAGATAATACTTATTCATGTGTTATTGTGAAAACAGCGCAATACACACAATATAGATATATATATAAATCCAACTTATTGCACGCATGCTACATTTCTCCTGTGCACGTGGACATGAAGATCACATGTGCGCTGCATTATTTTTACTGTCCAGGTAGCCTGGCGCATTCCCGGACAGTACATAGTTGTATTGCGTCAGGGGACGCACGAGTCTCAACTCCAGAGGACCATCAGGAGGCTGCGAAGTAAAGCAGCCAGGAGAGGATACCTGGTGGAGATCCTGCAGACCTACTCAGGAGCACTGCGTGGCTTTCTGGTCAAACTGAGTAGTGACGTCCTTCACCTGGTAATTGCGTCACTTCACTGGATGTGTTCGGAAAAAGTGTGATTTAAACCTTTAAGGCAAAAGGGGGAACACAGGGAAATAGATGTCAAATCATAGCAGATCCATTTTCTAAAGGTTAAGACATTCCGAACGGGACATCCTAAGAGCTTATAGGTGGAAGGCAGATCTAAGAAAGCAGCTATAGTCTTGAATAACACTGTTACATTGTAACATTGTATACTGGCACAAGACGAGTTAATGGCAGAAAAGATTGGAGTAATATGGATTTTCTGACTGCAGCTTTTTGCAGAGGTCTGTGCAGTCTGTGTATATTTGACCTACTTGACCAAAATAAAGTGAGAATACGGGAGTCTGGAATGAATGATAGACAAAGTGTACTACTTTCGGTTAAATATTGGCGGCGTTTTCAGGATTATTTATTTCGATTATTTATTTATTATATATTTTATAAAATGGACCGAGAATGATGAGAGGTGTGTGTGTATTTATGTGTTTTTTATTTTAAAATCTGTAAAATTATATGTAAGTATAGATTTAAAGTAAAAGAACTCCTCACCCGCCTTTAGAATGTTAACAAAGAGGTTTTGTGGAGCATTTGAAATCATTCAGCTGTTGGAGTTGAACAAAAATAATCAGAAACTTTGCTGAAAAACACACAGAAAACGTGAATTAGTTGAACTCTGTATAGTATGAGTGCTGGTGGTAATTTTAGACAGAGTTTCTTGACAGTTGAGAGGTTGTAGACCCACCTTTGGTATCTGCGCATTCTTGAATTATGTCAAAAAATAAAAATACACAAATAAAACGTGAAACAGTGAAACAGACTTCAAAGAAGAATGGTCAGCTTTACCCCCACCTGATTTAACAATCAACTTCCTGTTAATCATTCCTTACCACCCACAGTTAAGTTTGATTGTGTTCCTGTCAGGTGGCGAAGCTCCCTCACGTGCACTACATAGAGGAGGACTCATCCATCTTTGCTCAGAGCGCCCCCTGGAACCTGCAGAGGTTACTGCACCCTTACGGTGGTTTCTCCGAAAATGGAACATACAGACCTCCAAGTGAGTTTGTCTCTGTCCATGACTTATCTGTATTTTTCGTCAAAATATAGGAAACCACGTGCGCTCTTAAGCAATGTAACTACCGAGGCAAACAAAACATTTTGCATTAAGAGTTTCAGGAGTCATTGGGGCGGTTGGAGTAATATACAACTACCCCAATGTTTCTATTGTAAACAGCTCAAGAACAGCAGAAAACACGACTTTTCTTATTTCATTTTCCACATTTATGACAACAGGAACATTTATTCTACAGCAGCATATTCAGCAGTATCATCTCTCTTATTATATCAAGCTGTAAACAACAAGGAATTCCTGTCTTTGTGCAATAAGCCTGATATTGAAAGGTGCCTCTCAGTTTAATTTCTATGAAGTCACCCGACGGTCACCATCACCATGGCAACCTTTAATTGCAGCCGCTTCAGAAGAACTAATTACATGCTAATATCTGTGTTGTGTTAGTTCAATTCAAGCTAAGCTTAAATACAGTTAAGTCCATAACTTGCTGGGCCAAGACACCATTTTTGTAGTTTTGCCTTTGTGCACCGCCACAGTGGACTAGCATTCAAATTAGCATTATCTGTTAGGGAAGTAAATCCATTTTTTATATACAGATACATTTTCAGAGGCTCAATAATAATTGGAAAATGGACTGACAGTTTCATGGCCAGGTGAGGCCTGTTCCTTGGTATTTCACATGAAGTAGTATATAATATCTGTGGTTGAACCAGGGTGTTGAACTTGCATTTGGTAACTATCTACTAGAAATCTCAATGCCAATGCAAGAAACATTAATTTGTATAAATTTACTAGCCCTTAGACTGTGATGGACAGGAGCTCAAAGAACCAGGTCTTTCTTTCTCATCTTCCCAAACATTTGTCACTGGAACTAAATGCTTATGGGGCTTTAAAAATGATCTTTTTTCCATTTAAATGACATCTGAGCCATTTGTGCAGTTTAGCTGTCAGATATCCATCAAGCAGTGCAGCTTTCCAACAGCAACCACACTGAGATTTCTCCCCTCAGAAATTGCATTTTCTAATTACATGTCAAATTCACCATCTGTCCTCTGCAGATGATGGAGGGAGGACGCAGGTGTATCTGATGGATGGCAGTGTGCAGAGTTCTCACAGAGAGGTTGAAGGACGGGTACTCATCACAGACTTCAATAACGCCCCTGAAGAGGATGGAGTCAGAGTTCACAGACAGGTTAAACACATGCACGCACAAATGAAACATTTCAATTCAACAGCACTTATGTATTTGCAATTGCAGCTCAATAACATTCTAAATCCTCGTTCCACTACAGGCCAGTCAGTGTGACAGTCATGGTACACACGTGGCAGGTATTGTGAGTGGATCAGATTCAGGTGTTGCTCGAGGGGCTGCTGTTAACCTAGTGCGTGTGCTCAACTGTCAGGGTAAAGGGACCGTCTCAGGAGCTCTGGCAGGTAAGACAGAAACTGTTGAACTGTACTTTGTACTAAAGACTACCAGAGCCAAGCAAAAACTCTTGAGTTTCTTTCTCTTGGGTCATGGTGACACAGCTTGTGGATGGCATGAAAAATATTTCAGTTTTATCAAAACATTGTCTTCCAAAGGACATCTTCTGACTATGACTCTGGCCCTTTCCCTCTAGATATACATGGGGAGTGTCATAACTGAGTTATTGCAAGAACATGAGTGGGTCATATGTTTAATATTTTGGCTGTTGACTGGTTCTTTGTGGGCACAGGTAGTGCAACCATCATCTACAGTGTACAGAATTCTAATCTACATTATGAGCGCCATGTTTCACTCTTACAGCAACTTTGATTTAAAGCTGCAGGTAGAAAAAAACGCCCATATTTGTAGAAAAAAATAAAATTAAAAAAAGACCCCAACTGCAGCAGTTCTTCAGTCTCTGTTCACCAGACAGAAGAACCAGACTTTTCTCTTCTTCTTCTAAAACCTGAGAAGTTCAGGTCAGACTGCTTGTGTTAAAATATAAATAATTATGGGTAGTATGAATCCCTAGGAGACCAATGATCCCTAACCATGCAGCTATAAACTCTTAGTCTGGTTTTAAAGACTTTTAGAACACACTTTCATTTCATTAACTGTATTGAAAGAGAAAAGGAAGATGACCACAGTGTAAAACTTCCAATTTTTCTTGAGTGTATGAGGTTTTAGATTGTCCCTTTCCCCTTTCTGTCAGGAATGGAATACATTCGAGCCACTTTACTGGCCCGCCCAGTGGATGCAGTAGTCGTGTTGCTTCCTTTTGCCGGTGGCCTCAGCCGTTCATTAAACACAGCCTGTCGAGACATGGTGGCTAACAGCGCTGTGGTCATCGCCGCAGCAGGCAACTACAGAGATGATGCCTGTCTCTACTCACCTGCTTCAGAGCCTGAGGTAATTTAACACTGAAAATGCAATCACATTCTGGCCCACCTACACGCGACCCTCACCTTTACCTCCTTTCATGTGTGTGTGTGTGTGTGTGTGTGTGTGTGTATAGGTCATCACAGTGGGGGCAGTTAACTCAATGGACCAGCTCATGTCACAGGGAGCAGGTGGTACCAACTTCGGCCGCTGCGTTGATTTGTTTGCACCCGGCGACGACATCATTAGTGCCAGTAGTGACTGCAGCACTTGCTTCACCTCCCGCAGTGGAACCTCACAGGCTGCTGCACACGCTGCAGGTACGCAAACACACACACGCGCACGCAAAAGCAATCTGTGTATGCTGTTGGTATATCAATCATTCTTTTATTACAGACTCAATGATCCTTACAAAAAAAATCACATAAACACTAGAAAAAATATAATTGCATATTATAGATCATTGCAGGGAAAGCAGCTGTAGCAGTGTCTCCACACCTGGGATTGGTTGCATGTTGTAATACATCTTATATTTGATAATCCCGCAATGATTTTCAGAGGCATTAAGCCTGCAGATAAATTTATGCATGAGATTTCTGAAAACAACTTTAAAAGTACTGACTTGTGCATCCACAAATATTTCACTTGCGCTGACAAATCAAGGTTTTCTCTCTAATGATCACTCAGAAGACTTTCACTAGTTAGCATACAAGTATGCAGTGTACAGATGTGTACAGCTTGCTTTAAATAGAGATATCTTCACTAAGGTTGCATAAGAAAGGTTGTGCATAAATCATTTTTGCACATCAGTATCGTTACCATTTGTCACAGCACAATTACTTCATAATTTGTTTTTATCTGTGTAGGTGTCGTAGCAGTGATCCTGTCGTCCAGTCAGATTGCATCACCAGTGCACGTCCTCCATATGATGTTGCATTACTCCATCAGCAACACTATCGACTTCCTATCTCTGTCCGAAAGCCATCGGCTCACTACGCCAAACCTGGTAGCAGCCATGCCTCCGGTTATTAAAACGTCACCAAGTTAGTGACTCACATTCCTTTATCACACACAGACTTATAGTATCTATATGTGGTTCACATATGCGTTCCTATTTCTACAAGCAGATGGGGAGCTACTGTGTCGGTCAGTGTGGTCAGAGAGGTCAGGAGTCGCGAGCACCGACAGGGTCATCAGCCGCTGTCGTCAAGGGGAGGAAATGATGGGCTGCAGCAGTTATGCTCCTGAAGGCGTCCGTGTGGGGGAAACCATCACTGTTAGTTCAGTTACATCAGCCATAATATCAACAATAACTTCACTCTAAAGTCTATAAGTCTACGGACAAACCCTCACCCCCTGTGTTTACAGATGAACAGCGGACACATGGAGTGTATTGCCCATAATGGTCCAGCAGGTAAAGGTGTGTATGCTGTGGCCCGCTGTTGTGTGATAAGCGGTCTGCAGTGCCAGGTCCATGCTAGTCCTGAGCAAGGACAAGCTGCTCAGTGCGTCGGCCCCCAGCACCACCTGACCGGTGAGTCACGTGTACAAGCTGCAGGAGTTTGAATGAGGCAGTCAGTCTGACATTTTAGGAGAAGCTCTTACTTGTTTTCTTGCTAAGAGTTAGAAGAGAAAATAAATGACACCATCATGTGTGTCTATAAACCAGAAGTTCAACTATCAGCTCATAATTTTGCAAAAATATTACCGTAAAAAAATCAAAGGGGTAATATATTAAATATTTACACTCACAGGACACTTTATTAGGTACACCTTGCTAGTACTGGGTTGATCTTTTTTTTTTTTTTAACCTTGCTTTAGTTCTTTATGGCATAGACATAGATAGAATAAGGTGCTGGAAACATTCCTCAGAGATTTTGGACCATATTAACATGACAGCATCGCACTGTTGCTGCAGGTTTGCCGGCTGCACATGTATGATGCAAATCTCCTGATCCACCATATCCCACATGTGCTGGATGGTCATTTGAGTACATTGAAGTCATTGTCTAAGAAACCATTCTGAGATGATGTGAGCTTTGTGACATGGTGCGTTATCCATAAAGGGATAGACTTGGTCAGCAATAGTGCTAAGGTAGGCTTTTTCTGACCACTCTGCATAAATCCTAGAGATTGTTATGTGTATTTCAGCAGTTTGTCAAGTACTCAGACCAGCCACTCTAGCACAAACGGCATTCAAAATCCCTTAAATCACCTTCCTTCCCCATTCGGATGCCCTGATGCTCAGTTTGAGTTATTTGCCAATCAAAGCTAACTTTATTTATAAGGCACTTTAAAAACAGTGAGCACTGACCAAGTGCTGAACATAAACTAAAAAGAATAAAAATATAAATAGTAAAAAAACAAAAAAAACAAATGAAATGACAGTAACAATAAAGAACACCAACATCAGAAAGACAATAAAATTAACATTCTATTCTGGGTCTATGTGATTAGCTGATTTGCATTAATTAGCAGTTGATGAGGTGTAGTTAAAGACTATTAATTTGGACTTAATCTTCCATTTAACAAGTCCTATCTATTTTTCATGAACACGTGTACAGATTACATAAAAATATAGCTGGTGCAGAGCTGTTGTTTTTTTTAAATTTTATTTTATTTTGAATATTTGTATTAATTTAATTTCAACTAGTTTTCAGTGTGTTAGGAGTCTTAGTTTGAAGTTAAGCAGGTTGTCTCAACTACGATGTGATTAGTGATATGATCATGACCATTTGTACCTAATATAGTGGACAGACAGTGAATAGGGCTCTTCAGATTTTATTTTATCCATACCAACAATAAAAAAAAAAATTATAAAATAAATACTAATACAAATCTAATACTGTTAGATCAAGGAAACAATGTTCCAGAAAGCATCTGGGAAAATGTGGAGGAAAAAATTATTTATTTAATATCTTTTTGTTTTAAATTAGTAATCAGAGATCATGGTTTAATAGCTGGCAGAATGAATACAGCTCTTTGAACACTGTTGATATTGCTTATGATAAGTTTAGCCAAGAGACTCCTCCCTCCAGCTTCACACTAAGAGATATAGGAAGTGAGATGAAATGTCAGCCCCCTTTAAAAACAAAAACAAAGTCTATTAATTTAAATTTAGTTGCTGTCGATGTACTGAAGCGATGCACCTCAGGTATATAATCTGTATTTTTTAGTCAAAGTCAGGCTGCTGCATTTAGAATATCTTAGCCAGGTATGCTTGTTCCCATGGTAATCACCCTGAAAGGAAAATGTAACCCTAGCCAGCACAATTGCCAGCTACTCCACGAGTGTGTGATAGAAAAAGCAGCTTTTCAAATGTCATTAGAGCACTTAAATTACTTTACATTACATTTCTCATTGGTTGCCTCCATAGTGGTCTCTCTGAGGAGGATCAGTTAATGCTTGGCAACAGTGCCTCTAAAGTTCTTTGCTCCTTCGTTGTGTTTAAAGATTCAGCTGATTCTTCTCTAGGGTGTACATCGATGTCCACAGCTGAGATCTCATCTGATTCGCATCCACGTCACAGCCAGGGGAAGCGCTGCACGGTGAAAGAGGGGGTCACATCACACGCGATATGCTGCCATGCTCCATCTCTCGAGTGCAACCTGTTGGAAAACATATCAGCTGACAAAGATCAGGTGAAATAAAATAAAAAATCACAGTAAAAACATTGAGAATCAGCTACTGGAAGTTACCTCAGAAGTTATTGTCTTCCTTCAGGTTGAGGTTTCCTGTCCTTCCGGCTGGACTCTGACAGACTGCAGTTTCGTCTCTCGAGGCTCTGCTATCTTGGGGCCAGTTGCCAAGGGAAACAGTTGCCATGTCTATGGTGTCACGGGAGTGGATGGAGCAGCAGGTGCTGCCGTCTGCTGTCGTGTCGCACCACCAGAGCAGCAAGCTGCAACACCTCACTGATCCGGTTTCACCTCACTTTGGTTTCTAACATCGTTGAAACAGCTTTGACGTTGCCATTTTTTGTCTTTGGTCAGTTTTAAACCCCCTTACACTTTTCTGAGAAACCTCAACATCCTTAATATTCACTTAAAGCACTTCTGTAAAGCTGTTTGTGTGTGTTTTAGTTTTAGGATTACGCCAGATTATGCTCCAGTGCACATATTATATGTGACTTGACAACCTGTAAGCTATTTTTGTATCTTTTTACAAAACAGTTATAATAAAAAGAGCTTTCACAAACATACGGTTTGGATAATAGTGTAGTATTTACCGGGTATACCATCCGCATGCTGTTTAGAAGTTAATAAACTGAACAAATGAAATCAAAATGTTAAGCTCTGGTGTCAGCCATGTGTGTTTTAGAGTGGAAAAACATGATGATGTGCAGTGCACCACAGGTTGTCACAGTTAGCATGTGTTATGTATGCACTGATTTCCTGACATTCCTCAGTCTTGTGCAGCACAGCTGCAGGTAATCAGCCTGCTTGATTAACAAGTCAGGTACCTTTTGCTCATTTTGTGAAACAGTAGGTGGAAACAAAATGAGGTAAATGGCTAACAGTAGGGACACCAGTTAAACAAATTTCATGTCTACCCAGAGTGTTATTGTGACAGTGGCTTTTATGGCTCCACAGTTAGAGACTTAGTTCTGATACACAGGTGGGTGACGTCAGTGTGAACAAGAGCAAAAGGAAGCATATAAACCACTGTCAGCTAGCTTGCGCCAATCAGCTAGCTGTCTGATTGGCACAAGACAGCATTCTATCCGACTGAACCTATATGACCAAAGACTGATAAAAAATAAAAACAAAGTTTACCCAGAATACAGTAAATGAAGCTAGTGCTGAATTCATGTGTGTAATTCTGTTAGCAGGATGCAGAGTAGGTACAAATTAAAGATTTAAGCTATTCTGATTTAGAATCAGCATTCTTAAAGATTCAGTTGGTGTTTGTTTCTTATGTCATTTTTTGTAACCATTTAACTAGTGACCTGATCCATCAGCTGTAATGGTCAAACTTAGAAGCCTGAGCCTTCTATGAGTTCTAAAACATAAAAGAAACTGCTCTTGTTTTGTATTATTTGGTCTGCTGTAACCTGTAAATGGTTCCCAAATGGTGTGCCTCAAGGCAAGTTCAGGCCTGCTAAAAAATGAGCTGTTTATTGCAATTTACACAAATGGGCACCAAAAGTTTCAAAACCCATGCTGTAAACAAATTAAATTATCTGTTGTGCACTGTCTCTGATGCATAAATTGATATCAGTATCAACATTGGGGCCACAGGTAATGTTTTTAAGGTGCTGTAGACTGTATATAAAAGATGGATGTAGGTTCCAGGACTAAAAAAAGTATGTGTGGATTTGTGTGCATCTAGTTGCAAAGAGAAGTCCAGTTTAATAGAATGAGAAAGTGGTCCTTAGCTTGTTTGCCTAGTAAAAGCTTTCCTGATGAATTTAAGACCTTAGCGTGTAGATTCAAGCCTTGCTGAAGACAAGCTGGTGTTCATTTAGTGAATTATAGTTCCTATTCGTGTCTACAAAGATAATACATTGAAATGTGGCCTCCAAGTTTGTCATTATCTTGTTTTAAAAGAGCTAAGATGGTGAAAATGCTCAGTTTGAAGCTTCACAAAACAACTGGCGATGTCACAGAGGTTACGCCTTTTATATACAGTCTACGGTTGTATCATGGGACAGTATATAGAAATGCATAAAGACAATATTTGCAAAAGGTTGTGCATTCCAGTTTATTTTATATCAAATTTCCCCTTAATCAAACTCTGATGTACAAATTAAAACTGAGTCTTAACATGCATTACAGAGTCTTGCGATGTCAGAAGTGAAGTTTCAAAATTGAATGACAGTAAAAACCCGTATAGATGCCAATCCCTAACCTCGCACCTACCCATCCCTCCCTGCATCCCAGGATTAAAACAAGATTGTTTTGAAGTTGTTGTTTTTTTCTTTTTTTCTATTTTTAAGTATTTGTGGTGATGTAGCAGAGGGCCAAACCAACAAAACTCTTGGCTGAATGCAACTCATGTTGCCATGGTCATGTAATCACTTGGCACAGACTGCATGCAGCTCCTTCAGATCGCCCATAACCAGCCACTGTGAAGGGGCGTGTGTTTGTGACATTAATGATACCAAATTACACAGCAAACAACATGGGGAGGGGGTGGGGGCTGATTTTGTTTTTTTTCCATCACGCAGAAAAGACAAACCTCACCATCACTTACTGCCACACATGCAAACGTGCTGGAGAGCACGATGTGACATTCACATCTAATGAGAGGAAATGGGGTGGAGGAGCATGGAAGGGCTAAAGCAGTGTCTTTCCTCTTCTCGGATGCAGAGGAGCCAGCGGATTGATCGCACGTTGATTCAAACAGAAAATCATTTTGCATGGTAGCTTCCTAGGTCCTTACATTGTAAACATTGACCTGTTAAAGCTGAGAGCTAATCTGCTAAGCAAGTTTAGGCTCATGTCTTAAAACATGTTAGTGAAAGCGTGACTTCATTAAAACTACCTAGCATGAATTATCTACAAAGTGTCTCTGTCTGAGTGCAGAGTGAAGAGAAGCAGCATTTTACCATCATCAGAACCCTGTCGTGTTGCCTAAACCCTGTGTTACTGGGTAAAACTTCCACGCCCACCTCCCCATTCACACACAGAGTCAACAGTTACATTCCTACAGTCCTTTGTCACAACACACAGAGGAAATTCCCTGTAGTAGTTTCAAGAATAATGCAAAGGAAGAAGCCCTGTTGCCCTTCTACATGACCACAGGAGACACTTGGTTTAGCGTCACGGGTGGAGCAGATGAGGACGTACCTCATCGGAGATGTGACGAGACAGTGTCCGAGGGGAGACGGGAGGGAGATCGGGAGGTTAAGGCACTTCAAGTCTCCCGATGATGGGGGCAGGGATGATGGTAACATGGGTGTTGCTCTCCAGTAAAAACTAGAGCTACATTTGGGTTTAGCTCCTCTGTGTGTGTTTCCAAAGGTTGACAAAAGCAAAAGGCAAAGCAAAATGTAAACGCCATCGGAAAAAAAAGAAACCTGATAAAGCAGAGGTAACAGTGAGGTGAAGAGGACCTGTTCTCTGTCTTTGTGAGCGAAGTGAATGAGTGACACACGCCTGCATGTTTTTCAGAAGTTCTAGTTTTTGTATGCATGTGTGTGTGTAACCTTGGCACCTAAAAATAAAAACCTGCTCCTGAGCTCCCCTTCAGGCAGCACTGATGGCCCACCACAACTGATCTGCGCTCTTCCAGATCAGCTTTTTCCTGCATAAGGCTCGAGTCCCTAATCCTCTGCAGTAATTCAATTCATCCAGATTCAAAGAAAAGTGGCATTGAAAATAAAACAAAGCGACAAAAAGAATAAAATCCAGAACACGAGGCCGCTTGTCAGCAAGGAGGAGGAGTGGAGGGAGAGTACTGACCATGGCACTGCTTGTTTCAGATATGCTGAGGGTCTGGAACCGTCATACAACAGGACCAGCCCCCTACTGCATCCCGATGGCTACACTGTGGTGGCCGAGGGTCAAAGGTCAAGTCACAGGCAGACTGGCTTGCCATCAGGGCTCTCATGTGTTGCATAAGTGGCACTGCAAATATAAGTTGTTAAAAGCAAAAGAAGACGAGGCTCTAGAGGAACTGACCAGTGCTGCTGTACATCACAACAGAATGGGTTGGACTATAAAGTGCATACTTAAACCCACCCTCCCTCCCGAGTGCTCATATGTGGAGGTGTTCCTGTCTGTAAGTTCCTCTAGAGCAGCTAAATGTGACCTCCCGCAATTTGCATGGCTGTGAGAGAAGAGCACAGGACACTTTAAAATATTATCTTACACTGGAAATAACATCTATGGAACAAAATCTTTACAATATGAATATGTAGATAAATTGGCAAACATGAGCAGAAAATTGTTAAAACACAACCCAAACCCATCCTCCACCTTGCTGTCATTCTGAGTGAATGAATGAATAAAAGGATAAACTGAAGTCATCCATGATTGTGGAAGGTTATTTGCACTTCCCACCCTAATCAACTCTGCTGCCCTTTATGATAATGCATCTCCATCATCGCCTTGGCTCATGTGAAAGGAAGTAATTCATGATTTATTCATAGCTCCTTCGTTGCCTTAGCGACCGAGACAAATGTTCTGATTGGCTTGCTGTGGAGTCCTAAATGTCCTGACCAATCAGAGGCAAAGTGCAGCCTTTTCGAATGGCTTCCCGGAGCTGCCTCTCCTTTGGAGGGATCCCACTGGTAGGACGACCTAGGGGTCCACGTCTTCTAGATCGCTCTTAGAATCACCGAGCATCATGGGAGACTCTGACCCCTGTGGTAGAATAGAGGGAAGTTGGATTAAAAAAAAAAGTTGAATTATCCATCTGTTAGGCAGAGCCAGGAGGATTATAATTTCTATTCAACACACCGATTGTCTATAATGTTTTTATGTGAGCACAAGTGACAATCTGGGGCTGTGTGGGCTTCCTGACAGCCCCAGCGGGAGTTGGAGAAGAATGAAACAGCTTCAAATCCACCTCTAATAATAACCGTGGGCGGTAACAAACTGCCTTTATAGCTTTTGACAGAAGCCAATGAGATGATCCATTTTTGCTCTATTCTTCTCTTTCGGGCTTATGTGAGCTGAGCGGGAACTGCTTTAAAACCATGAGTCATTTGAGAGCTCCACTGTTCTAAGCTGCTCGTTTGGATGTAGCTGAGAGATACCTGTCGGAGACTGCGGTCAGCGTTTTCATTCGCCGGGCTGCCGTCAGAACCATTACTGCTACCAGACTGCTCTTTCTCATTTAACAATGCTGTAGCATAGGCCAAGGTATCCTGCAGAGTGTGACACACACACACACACACACACACACACACACACACACACACACACACACACACACACACACACACACACACACACACACACACACACACACACACACACACACACACACACACACACACAGGGAAAATAAACAGTATGAGTGACTGTGAGTGTAATAGGAGAACTGGAGGTCGTTGATATACGGTATTTTTGTGTGTGCGTGTATTTACCTGTGCAGAAATTGTGCGCTGGAAGGTTTTATTGGTGGATGTCTCATTTGAGACGTTGCTCTGTGGAGTCCAGTAATGTTCTGTCATCTGAAGGCAGAGAGAGTCACTGTGAGCATACAGCATAATTTACAGTTCTTCATAAGTGCCATAGTGGTTAAGCCAAGTGTCTCCTAAACAGGGGGCACTGTAAAGCTCCAGTAATATGAAAATTAATGACGGAACAAAACAATTAATATACTGAGTGAGCTGTGAACAAAACTGTATACAGAAAGAAACAATAATGATAATAAATATGACTTAAAAGAGTTTTAAGTTCAGTTCGGAAAAACAGTTCAGTTACCTAAAGTTCGCTGTAATGAATAGAAAATAGTAACTGTATAGTCTGCATACAACAATGCTGTTTTTATGTTAGTTTATTGTTTATCTATTACTTAAATACTTTGGTGTAGTACGAATGGCCATGGGGGAGGTCTTTGTAAGTAGTAAAAGCGGTAAAACTTATGAAAACACAGTTAAAAGTCCAAAGTCGATCCTCCCCTTCACATTTTCCAATGCAGTCCAGTGGGCTGATTTGCTGAGCTGATTCTGGCCCTCGGACCTTATGTTTGGCACCAAGTGGTAACTAATAAAGGCAAACTTTACTAAACTATCATTTAGCTAAATGAAAAAAAGTTCTAAAAATAAAAATAAAAATTTATGCCGTGCTAAACTGAGTTCAGATTTAAACTAATGTTTGAAAGGCTGATTAGTTTTTAACAACACAGTGTGTCCGAATTCACCTGTAAGAACTTGGAGGTTATGTTGGATTAAATAATAAGAAGGGAATGGGAAACACTGAGGTTTGGGCTTAAAGGCACTGGGGATTTTTTTTTGGCTGCTGTCCTCCATCCTTCTCACTTCTACTGTCAATTACAAAAGCCAAAAATGCCTCACACTAATGTGATGTACACTATATGGATAAACGTACTGGGCCACCTACAGAAACTGGTTGCCCATGGAAACCCAGGCTATGAAGCTCCCAGCCCACAGTTACTGAGCTGATGTTCATGGCAGAGGTTTGGAAATCTGCAGTTACTGAATCATCAAGTGTTGGCATCTCTTAAGCACTATGCAACTCCTCTTAGTAACCTTATGTGATCTTCCATTTCATGGCTGAGTTGTTGTGGTTCTGAAACATTTTCTTCTTTCCCAAATGTTTAGAAATGTTGGGTGCAATGGGACTGAAAACATGTCACTTTAAAGATTAAGAGGTGTGGCCCTGTACTTTTGTTGATGTAGTGTAGGTCAGCGGTCCCCAATCCCCGGTCCTCAGACCGGTACCGGTCCGTGAGTCGTTTGGTACTGGGCCACAAGAGTTGAGGCTCAGGTGTGAAATGTATGGTTTTCAGGGTTTTTATCGGTTTTCAGCGTTATTTTGTTATCGTTTTTATCATTAACTCTGTTTTCCTGGATCTTTTCACGTGTGTTATGAATAAATCTTCTTTTTTTCGGTAACGGTACTAGTTTGATCTTGTTGTATTTATCCGGGACACCTGAAAGGCCGGTCTGTGAAAATATTGTCGGG